TAAACTTGGCTCTGGCCACCCACCCCCTTGTGCGAGCACATCAATATGCAAACAGGTCATTATAGCAACACCCTCATGGACAAATTTGCATATTACTCCTATTATGTATAGATAAGTATTGATTTTTATAAGATGTTTGTTCCATCAACTAACATGTTTTTGCTCTTCCTTAGTCTGTTAATGTGATGGATGATATCGATTTTAAATATTAGCAAGTCTCATAACCCCATTTGGTTATGGTGTACAATACTTTTTATACGTTGCTGTACTGTATTTGCTAATACTCTACTAAAAATTTTTGTGTCCACATTCATGACTATATTAATCTATAGTTTCTCTTTTATTACTGTGTATCTGGTTCTGGTATCAAAACAATACTAACTTCATAAAATGAATTGAGAAGTATTCCTTCTTTTTTCTATTTCCTAGAAAAGGTTGTGTAAAATTAGTGTGAATTCTTAAAGTTTCATAGAATTATCCACAGAAAACATCTGTGCAGGTATATTTATTTTGAAAATTACAAATCAGATTTTTCTAGTTACACAGTATTCAAATTATCTGTTTTACACAGTATTCAAATAATCAGCTGTTATAAAAGTTTTTTAAGAAAGATCCATGTCATTTAAGTTATAAAATTTATGAAGGTAATGTTGTTACTAGTATTCCCTTCTTGTCATTTTAGTGTCTACAGAGTAACATAACTTAACAATTAAAGAGAATAGAAAAACTACTGAATTTACCCAGATTTTTATTCTTTTCATTTTCTCTTTCTCACTGATAGTCCCCTATTTCTCCTTTCTATTTAGAGAATTTCCCTTAGCTATTCTTTTAAAATAGATGTGCTGGCCACAAACTTTGTTTTCTGTGTGTTTTCTTTTCATCTGCAATTATCTTAATTTGGTCTTCATTCCTGAAGGATATTTTCTCTGATTTCTGGTTGATAACCTTGTAAAAATATCTCTATGTACAAAGTATTTTTATAATATACATCAGGCTTATAGCTTGTTTTCTAAAAGGATGGCAGAAAAATATACACCATGAAAAATAGTGAATATAACTGACCCACACTCCTAGACAGGGGATGAATTAGTTGAGTTCACAAGAACCTTCCAATTCCACACTCTATAATTCTAAATGATACCATTGAGGAGGATAATTTATCAAGTTAATTTTTAGACATGACTGTATTAGGATTCTCCAAAAACAGAACCAATAGGACACACACACACACACACACACACACACACACACACAGGAACCAATTCGTGTAGTTATAGAGGCAGAGAAGCCTCACAAACAGCCTTCTACAAGCTGGAGAACCAGAAAAACCAGTGGAATAATTAAATCCAAGGGGATCCAATGATGCAACTCAATCTGAAGCCTAAGGCCTGAGAACCACTGGGTGTAAATCGATGAGTCCAAAGGTCCAAGAACCAGAAGCTTTGGTGTCCAAGAGTGAAAAGATCGACTTCCCAGCTACAGTAGAGAAAAGAGAGAATTCACCCCTCCTTCACCTGTTTGCTGCATTGGAGTCCTCAATGGATTGATTGACACTCGGGCCATTGGTAAGGGTGGTTCTCATTATTAGTCTATTGAAATAAATGGTAATCCCTTCCAGACTTACCCTGAAGACAACCTAGAATTTATGTTTTTCCAGCTATCTGGACATCCCTTAGCTTTGACTAGTTGACACAAAAAGTTTATCATTACAATGGCAAAGAAGAATAAACTTTAAATGGCACTGAGAATCCTTAGCCTTTGATGTTGTAAATTAGTACTTATTTGCTATTTCTCTAGTTCATCTTGGTAAGTTTGTTTCACTTGGGCTCTGAAATTTTATTGATGGTATATATCCTACACTGAATTTTCATTGTATAAAGAGCTTAGAGATAACTTCGAGCCAAGCCTCACTTTACAACTGTAGAGTAAGTCCTGTGCTAGTAAAATTACTTATACAGTTAGTTGAAAAGTTATAACTAGTGCCAGGGAAATAGGTATTCCACTACTGAGTTTTAGTAAACATTATAGTATAATAAATCCACTCATCAGGCACTTTCTGAGCCTGAAAAATGAAACATCTTACCTTACCTAATATACTCCTGATAATTTCTGAACTTGTATAGTATATGCAATAGTTTTCAAAAGATAGCCCTTTAAATTATATCAAAATAATAAAAAATGTATAGAAAAATATTAGATTTATCATGTCATGTATTGTAAGAAAAATGCAATTTTTATTCACTTATTTTTCAAAAAAGGTCTCTTAAGAGTGAAAGCTTTAATAGTATTGATTTTATCCATTGATCTCTATCCTATAAAAACAAGAATGCATGTTTGACACCATGCCCCATCTCTACCTGTAGTATTCATTCTATACGAAATGCATCCTTTACATTATCCACATATAGTATACTAGAGGCCTGGTGCACAGGTTGCAATCCAGGACCCCTCGAGGGATATCAGAGAGCCAGATTCAGTCCAATCCCCTCAGGCCAGGCTCCCTCAACAATGCACGAATCCATGCACCAGACCTCTAATATGCATATAAGATCTTTGGTCAATCTCTTCCCACTCGCCCCTCTCCCCACCTTTCCTCTGAGATTTATCAGTGTGTTCCATGTTTCCATGCCTACAGTTTCCACTCCTGCATTGTGCATCTGCCCCCTGGTGGTCAGTTCGCATCATAGCTACCAGCCAGTCAGCCAATCAGTTGATTGCTTAGGCTTTTATTTATACAGATGAACTCAAATTTACCTTGGAAATGTATCTATTCATACATATGTATTAAGAAAATCTGTATTTTTTTCATTTAAATTTAGAATAAACACAATGGTCTTATGCCTCTGCTCTATCTATCCATGTAAAACTCAGAATAAAGAGAACTCTATATCTGACATACAGTAAATGTATAAAGGATTTATATTAATTAAATAAAATTGGCAATTTGTGTTTATTTTTGTATTTAAGAGCATATAGCTATAGTTTTATATTAAGGTAAAATTGTTTATAATCTAAAGGACCATGATAGTTAATTATATTCTATAATAGATATGTGACAGATAATGAGATAGGAGATTGGAACATAAATTATTTAGCACTTAGCACATTTCATGGGGGGGTGAGCGAGATAAGTACTTTATAAAATTATGACTTTATGGAGAAAAACTGTAAAGCAATTATATACATAATTGTTTGAAAATTATCCACTAGGTTAGAGGCATTCACATTTAGAAATTCTTTAGGGACTTAATTAAAGTAGAGAAAGTCATCACTTCTTAAAATATGATCAACACATTTAATTATGGTTTTGCATGTTTATTTTGACATTTTTAAAATGCACTTTAATGTGAGGAAACAAAATATTTTTTATTTAAAGTAAAGTTTTTTTCTTCTATACTTTCTTTTAGTAGGTCCCCTAGAGTAAGACTTTTTCTTCATAGGTAAATCAGCATAGTATTAAAATGTCATTACCATTAAGACATACACAAATTTATAAACAAAATATTGCCTTACCTAGGAAGAACTGGACTTCCTAAATCAGTTGATACTTTAGAAAATGCATACACATACCATGTTTCCCAGAAAATAAGACATTCTCCAAAAATAAGACCTAGCACATGGAAAAATAAGACATCCCCTGAAAATAAGATCTAGCGCATCTTTGGGAGCAAAAATTAATATAAAACACGGTCTTATTTTCGGGGAAACAGGGTATTCAACCACCAGGCTCTTCCAACCACAGCTGCAAATTGGAAAATGCCCTTTTGTTGCCTACTGCTAAATACAATTCTAACCATAAAGGCATTTTTGTATTCAAAACCCTTCAGGATACAGAAGAATCCCACCTTTAGTCAATGAACTAAAAACAGGATAATATCTGAGAACTATTCAGGACTTTTATTTGATATGGTACAGCTCATAACTAGCATGTGATACCCTGTTTCTAAGTCCTTGGTTCCCATATTTCTATCTGATAAGATCATGAAAGTATCAAATTCTGGCATAGTCTAAAGGGGAGAGGCAGCCTCAACTGTGAGAAACTCTACAAAGGATATTAGACCTCCATTTTCACCAGAACCATTAACATGCCTCTGTTAAAAAAAAATACACAATTGCAATAGGCTATAGTTTTGATTTAAATTGGTGTGTCACATACTAAATTTGCTTTTGAGAAAGCTTACTCCAGCAATATATTTGGTGATGACCTGATTCAACAGTGATCCCCCCTTATCCTCAGGGATATGTTCCAAGACCCCCAGTAGATGCTTGAAACTATAAAACTATACATGGTACTGAACTACAATATATATGTGTGTGTGTGTGTGTGTGTGTGTGTGTGTGTGTGTGTTTCACATGTGTGTGTGTGTGTGTGTGTGTTTCATATATATGTATATATATACAGACACAGGGTAGAGCAAAAGTAGGTTTAAAGTTGTTCATATAGAAAATAATTCAATAATTAATAATAAACTTTTGCATACTCACAACTGTAAACCTACTTTTGCCCCACCCTATAAAAATACCTTTGCATTTAAAGGACTCACTTTATGTCTTCTCTTTAGCATGTCTGAATTGCCAGCAGCACTACTCTTGCACTTGGGAAATATTATTAGATAAAATAAGAGTGACTTGAATGCAAGCACTATGATACACAAGTCAAACTGGAAATCAAGCTCACTATTAAGTGACTAACAGGCGAGAGTACTCTGACAAAGGAACAATGCACATGTGCGAGCAGGACAGACTGGATGGTGCAAATGTCATCACACTATCCCAAAAGACCCACCATTTAAACTTATGAATTATCTCTGGTATTTTCATTTAATATTTTTGGGCCACAGCTGATTGTGGGTAACTGAAACCACAGAAAATGAAACCATAGATCAGGGGGAATTACTGTATGTTCAGAGTTTGCAGAATGCATACATAAGTGGCTGGCATTATTTTTCTTTTGCACAGTGTCATTCTATATGTTCTTCAGCAGGACTGCTGGGTATCTACTTTGCATGCTTATTCCATGTCTTCACTTGTAATTTTCCATTTTCCCAGTCACCCTGCCAGCTTCCAGCATGGCAGCATGGCAGAGTGTTCTACCCAGTGGCCAGGAAGGACAGCAGGCACTGTGCCTCTCTCAGCACCCTAGGACAGTGGTTGACAAATTGTAGCTCATGAGTCACATGCAGTTCTCTGGCCCCTTGAGTGTGGATCTTCCACAAAATACCACGTGTGGGCGCACACATACAGTGCAACTGAAACTTCATGGCCCATGCCCAGAAGTCGGTTTTCGGCCTGGGCAAGTCTATTTTGAAGAAATGGCGATAGAACACTCAAAGGGCCAAAGAGCCGCATGTGGCTCACGAGCCGTGGTTTGCTGACCACTAACCTAGGACCTGAGTGTCTGCTGTGTTCATCCACTTCATTTCATCACCAAGCTCCTTGAATTCTCTCCTGGAACATTTTACTTCTGAAAAGGACTGGGGAAGGTAGTGAGCTGGGCTATGTCTGACAGTTTTTTGGATGTAACCACATAAGCTAGTAGATGAGCCCATGGTGAGACAGATTAGTGAGAAACTAGGAAAATTCCCTGGTAAAGTGGAATGAGGAAATTGAGACAAATAGCCAGAACAGCTGAGCAACTAAAAGCCAGGTAATAAGTCACAAGACCCTATGCTCTCTAAGTGCAGATCACTTAAACCTTGATAGTCAGTAAGTTAGATTACAAAAAACAATTAGATTCAGATTAATCCAAGGTGGAGGGAAAACTGACCAGAGAAGGACCCCAAATCTCATTATATCCTGACTACAATGAAAACTGACAGGGCAAATAGAAGCGGGACTCAGAGGGACCAATGCCTTGACACTTCCAAAAGAAACCTTAACAGAAACAAGACATCCCCCTCCCGGCCAGAAGGCAGAGTGGGAGTTTGGTGCCACCAGCTCGGAGACACATAAAATCCGAAAACTAACAGACCTCCTGTTTACTCGGACGCTTCATTTTTGCTTCTTTCACAGAGGAGCCTGTGCCCTGGCTTCTTCCTTTTTCTCTTCCTGAGTAAAACTTGTTTTGTTCTTACTCTTTGATATTTTTCTCACTCGTTGACATTTTTCCTGAAGGTTGACACTGGGAAGGTTCTGGATTGTGACCCGGCAGGACCAGGCCCCCTCACAGAAGCAGCCCATAGCAATGGCAGAAGCTAGAAGGACAAACTTCTGGTCAAGCAAACCCATGTTAGCTTTTTATAAGGCAATTATTAATAACACTCTCCCATAAAAAAATAAATAAATAAACTAAAATCAGGGCCAAACGCTATGCTGACAAGGAGAAAGTATGATCTTCATATTCATAACCATTGACAATATCAATGGCTCAACAGAAAAGAAGACTGTAAGAGCTAAATAGCCCTTCCTGCTGCAGTTAATCCAGGTACTATTATAAAAAACACCTTAACCTTATATTTAAAAAAAATGTCACCTGACTTCATTATTGGGAAAGACTGTACAATCTGATTTAGAATAGTCATTCTGGATGAAAATGTTTCCCCCTCAGAAGAGAGCATTATGAAACATTGTTTTAAGAAACACATCAGCCCAGCTGGCATAGCTTAGTGATTGAGCATCGACATATTAACCAGGAAGTCAGAGTTCAATTCCCAGTCAGGGCACATACCTGTGTTTTGGGCTGGATCCCCAGTTTGGGGTGTCGGAAGGCAGCCAGTCAATGATTCTCTCTCATCATTGATGTTTCTATCTCTCTCTCCATCTCCCTTCCTTTCCAAATTCAATAAAAAATATTTTTTTTTTTAAAAAAAAAGAAATATATCAGATGGCCCCTGACTAAAAATTTAAAAAGAGCAGAATAATTAATTCCATAATTATTTAATAAAATCCTATTCAAACATGAAGATTCAAAAAATAATAAATGGGAGAATATTCCATTTAGAGGGAGGAAGGAATTTACAGAAATAAAATCTTCCTAGTAATCCTCATTTTAAAAAGTTGACAGGTGACTTTTAGTTGTTTTAAACATTTAAAAATTTAACATTTTTAATGGAAATGCTTTGAAATTGCATTGCACATTTTCCTAGAATTTTAAAAAAGAAATTTTTGCAAGTGACCAAGATTTTCTAATGACTGACGTTCATTATGATCAATTATTACCCTGCACTGCAGCCTAACGATGCCCAGAGGGACAATCAGGGAGGGTGGAGCTGTTTGCGGTTGCACCTCAGTGCCTTGCACTGCTGTGCTTTCACTCTGGTTTCTGACCTTGATGGGTTTTCCCTCCACCACTGCTTTAGGCTGTGACTTCTCACTACTGCTAAAGATGGTGAATATGATCTTCCATTTACAAAACTGATCCTAATTCTGTACTTCCACCAAAAATAAAGAATTTAATGTGCTTTTTGAAAATAGTGTAAGACCACAAGGAGGAAAGATCTACAGCCACTGAGGCATGTATGTTGGTTCATGGGAGAGAAAAAAAAATGCTCTTGTTTTCTTGTCTCTAGTTGCAGTGGACTAGGCTAGCTAGTTAATCTGCCCACAGATGATTGTGACATTGAGATGGTAATGATCATGACAAGTGACTGGGATAAGTGTGTCATAGCATCTTCACAATCATAGGAGGAAGGCACAATTAGAATCTTATTTTACAGAGAGGGGGATTAAACTTACAAAGATTAACTGATGTAGGTATGGTTACAGGAAAAGTCCTCAAACTAGTGTTTCAGCCCAGGATGATAACTAGAGCTAAGGCTCCTACTCATTCTTTATGTTACTCTGAAGGTCAGAAACTACATTAAAGCTTCTAAAAAAAATTACTTACAACTTAGACACAGGTTTTAAAAGAAATGGTCACTGAATTTTAACTATGTCAACTTCTTTAATGTGTGTATATTTTGCTTTATTGAGCTTGCTCTGAAAAGGCCACATTGTGTTTATCTGCTACTTAAAAATCCAAATGTTAACATAAACCTGCTGACTGGTACTATCATACTATCACTTTAAGTTTATAACATTCCCATTGCCAATTCCCCAAAATTGAATTACACTATGTTGTGTTTAAGTTATAAAAGTATCATTGTCCTTATCATATTTAAGTCATTGCTTAATTTACACTTAATTTTGGAAGTTCAGTAGAATCTCACATTCACACCCCAAGGCACATCTCCGAGTTCAGAGACAGCCCTGAAGGCTCAAGAGTCACATTTATTCCACATGTGTGTTCCTTTGGTCTGCACAGTGATTTCAAAAGAATTAATTAATTTAAGACATTTAAAAATGAGATTTCATATAAATTGTAAATTACTGCCTTCTCTTAAAGAACCAAAAGATTGGTTTTTTGGGGTTTTGTTTGTTTGTTTGTTTTTTAGCTAGAAGTGTCTTTTGTAGCTTTCTTCATTGAACTCAGTACTAAAGAATAGGTAACTCCACCAAATCAATACTTTGCAATATTATTTTCCTAGCAAGCAAATTTGATGCTGAAAAGTTTATGAGACAGGGAGAAAAAAACAGAGACTGCTTTAAATAAAATATTTTCTATAAGTAACAATAACTTCACTTTCACATTATATACTATATAAACAAATATACCACTAAACAACAAATGTTTTTTTATTTTAAATAGAATTGATATTTTTCTTATATCTTTATTGCTGAAAGTATTACATATGTCCTATTTTTCCCCCATTGACCTCTTCTAGCCTGCCCCACCCCTGCTGCAGGCCCTCATCCCCACTATTGTCAATGTCCATGGTTATATATATATAAGGTCTTTGGTTGTTCCCTTCCCTCCCTCTCACTTACCCTCTCTTCCTCACCAGCTCTCTGAGATTCTACAGTCTGTTTCATGCTTCTATGTCTCTGGATCTATTTTGTCCAAACATTTATTTTGTTCATTAGATTACACATTATAGTGAGATCATGTGATACTTATCTTTCTCTGACTGGCTTATTTCACTTAACATAATGCTCTCCAGGCCCCTCCATCTAAGGATAAGAGATCCTTCTGCTGCATAGGATTTCATGGTGTAAATGTACCACAGCTTTTTTATCCACTCATCTGCTGATGGGCACGTGGGCTGTTTCCAGATCTTAGCTATTGTAATCTGTGCTGCTATGAACATAGGGGTGTATACATTCTTTCTGATTGGTGTTTCTGATTAGGATATATTCCTAGAAGTGGGATCACTGGGTCAAATGACGGTTCCTATTTGAGAAAACTCTACACTATTTTCCACAATGGTTGCACCAGCATGCATTCCCATCAGCAATGTACTAGGGTTCCCTGTTCTCCACATCCTTGCCAGCACTTGTCATTGATTGATTTGATGATAGCCATTATGACAGCTGTGAGGCAATACATCATTGTGGTTTTAATTTGGATCTCTCTGACAATGAGTGACTTTGAGCATTTTTCAAATGTCTCTTGGCTATTTATATATACACTTTGGAAAGTTACATAGTAATGAGTATAATGGAGAAATATCAGGCAAGGACAGGAGGTAGGGAATTATAGGAAATTAGAGTTATTTTATATTGGTGATCAGAGAAATATGGTTAATAATGTATGTATGGACCTAGTCTTCAAACCAGCTGGCCCTTTTATCACTATAATCATCATGGTTATTATTATTTCACAGAGATCAGGTGAACACAACTGGACAGACTGCAGTCAGCCTTGTGTGTTATCCTCACACAGTATCAAGAACAGAGATTCAGTCTTTAAAAAGTTGATTATTATGCTGCTTTGTTTCTGAAACCCTTGGGAGAAAATGTTAAATATAATGTAGCCCAAGTTTTACTGATTTTTTCAGCATACATAATTTTTAAAGGCTACATAGGCAAAGGTCAAATTTTGGAGACACTTTAACCTGAAAGGAGAAAAAAAAAGAAAAAGAAAAGCCTTGAGGCTAATAGCTTCTCTCAAAAACAGGAAGAAAATAAAAGACTGAAGACCTGAGGGAAAACTAAATAGAACTATCTCAACATCACAAACTGTGAATGGGAAATTCAGAAGTTAGAGAAAAATGTGCCTGTCTCTAATCTAATGAATGGGGAAAGTAACACTTAAAAATGAGTAAATTTTCTATTACTTATAAATATGTATCCTTCCAAAAATCATGAGATATGTACATTTCCTAAAAATAATTGTCTCAAAATAACATGGGTTATTTGCTACATAATGCTAAGAAATCATTCAGCTTGGAAATCATAAAATAACTTCAAAACTGCTAGTCCATATCCAAGCATACAGACATGCTTAAACAAGCTGTTTTGTTACACACAGATTTTTAAAAATCATATTTTTATGTATATCTGCTTATTTTAAAAAGTCATAAACAAAACCCAGATGTGCTTATAGACTCTTCAAAATTCCTAGACTTAAATGAATAATCATTGAATAGGAAATTTCAGACCATTTTCACAAGCACTTACCATTGTCTTAAGCTAACACGGCTGTCTTTACAGCAAAGCATAATAGTTTCAAATGTAAGGTAAATTACCAAGTATTATAGAATGTTCTCTTTTAGTGAGTTTGGATTTGAGAAGGTGAATTCTATAGGTGAGTAAGACCTAAACACTGAAGATATTACTGTGATACCCCTGTGCACCTTAATTTTAGACTTGTGGGGAATAAACAAGCAGATAATAGCAGGAACAAAGTTTATACAAGACTGTAATCCTTACCCCTGTGCTGAGCTCTGCTTCAACAGAAACCTTTCTGCTAGGCTCAGTAATCTCACAAACCCTGTTAGAGAAGCTACATTTCCACTATTCAAACTCAGATCCAGACCGATTAAGTAAATATAGCAACTTTCTTAATCTCTTTCTCAAAAGAGAATTAGTCTGCCCGAATTTTGAATCTAACTCTACTTTCTTTGAAATAGTAGATTTAACCATTTTTCTTTGCAATATTCATGTATGTGTATGCAAATAAAATAACTTTTATGAATGAAATCATTTGTAGCA